GGTCTGTCTGTCTGTCTGTCTGTCTGTCTGTCTGTCTGTCTGTCTGTCTGTCTGTCTGTCTGTCTGTCTGTCTGTCTGTCTGTCTGTCTGTCTGTCTCACTAAGTAAGAATAAGAATCGCTGCTTGTGTATTGCTGCTGATGTAGTTATTTTGTGAGTTGCCTGTACGGCTGCTAGAAATATATGTGCCATGCATGATTGTCTCACCGTCAACCATATCGTATGTCAAGCTCCAAATGTTGCATAAAGTTTGAAGGATAAAATGCCTCGCTGGATGTCTTCACGTAAACCCTATCATTTTCTGCCTATCCCCTCTAGTAATTAACGATAGTTGAAGGTTGTGACTGCAGCCTCCTTGTCAGTTATCGGAGAGGAGCGTCGGGGCATAAGCAGGGGATATTACCTAGCAAAACTGTGTTAAGACAAAGTGTGTAGGTTGCAGGTTCAGTTTGACTTCCTGACAATTAAGTAGTTAATGTTGGAGTTGTTACTATTTTCCGAGTGTTTACTCGATCTTGACGATTCTTCTTCTTCTTGATCGCATCACACTTGAAGTCTGGTATATCTTGACGATTGAATTCTGTGAAACTTCGTGTGAGGTCATGTCGGTGACAAAGATTATAAATGGCAAAGGGTGTGTTACTAGCGTTATGCTTACCATAAAAAGTGTGGAAGATGTTTTAAGGAATAAAAAAAAAAGCAACATATAACTGATTGTCAAAATCGACACTGCGTAGAGTTCATAACACTTCATACTAAAATATTAAGATTCAATAATCGTGGCCTGTCTTTTTGCTTAAAGTATTGTAGAGGCACATACGGACATGTTTCTTTATATTACGCCTATTTAAAGCTTACCCTGCTAACTTCTAAGTTTGCTGTATTTCGAATTGTTGACATATTCAAAAGTTATGCAAATATGTATCATCGACAAGGCAATGTTGTTCGATGATAGAAGCTGCGTTTGTAAACATAAATTTACGAGATGACACCGAGACAAAGAGAGGTGAGGAGAGTACGCCTTAAATCGTGTCTGGAACCATCATGATAATATTATTGTCTTATCCAAAACGGGTGAAAGTCAGGTGAGCAAAGTTTATCGAGCGCACAAGTGCGAGGATCTCAAAACCTCTTTTGAGTCAATGTGTACACTCGACGTACGCAAAAGCAGTCACAGTTTTGTTAGTAGCGCTAAATCTGGGTACCCGTATAGAGAAAGATGAACGCTTGCGTGGGAGGTGTTTCTCTCAGCAAAAGCTCAATCCAACCATTAGCCATGTTTCCTCAGACAATCCTTGAGAAAACAAGGGTGTGAGGTTTAACAGATGGAGTGACACGAGTAATTGGGAGGGTGTCGATTCCACAAAGCAAGGTATGAAGCGGGGTCTAGTTTCAGTTTTTCTTCCTGTATTCTTCTGCCCTCCAATGTTGTAACATAGGTTTTGAAAGTAGGCCCACAGAGATAATGTAAATAAAAATCACCTTCTTTAATTTGAATATTGAATAAAATTCTTACATGGATTCCGGAACTTGGAATAAATCGATATCGTACTCTTTCCAGAGATGGTTCGAAATATTATGTTTTTTTGTTTTGAATCGCAAACTGCACACACTTAAGTTGCGGAATCAAATCAAGGGGATTTTTATAATTGTTCAAAAACTGTTTTGTATAGAATCGTAAACTGCAATCAGTCATGTCACAGAATCGATTAAAGGAATTTTCTCTATTCCCGTTATAACTGAAAGAACTAAGATTCGGCTAAGCTGAAACAACACACGACAGATATCTTAAGCACGAAAAGAACCCCCCCCCCAAAAAAAACAAAAACAAAAAAAACAAACAAACACAAAACAACAACAACAAAACAAAACAACAAACAAAAACAAAACATAAATAGAAATAAAATAAAACAGCAATAACAGCAGCGAGAAAAGATGAAATTCAAACGGAACAATCAACAGTTGCATTTCAAGCGTTTAGATTTCAAGTGTCTTCTTGTTTACTTTCAATACAAAATTTTAACAGTTTTTTCTCCAACAATTTTTGAAAGATGTTCTTCTCTCATTCTATTGTTCTACATGGTCACGTTGTCCTGAACCCAGGAATCGATGCGCATTGATCACGTGGCCAGCTCGCCTAGAGCAGACCACATCAAAGTTTCATGCTCACTAATGACCTTTGTGATTAAGGGTGTTAAAGAGATTGTCGGCCTCCAACTGCGACCGATCGTATTTATTTTTCATAACGTTCAGAGGTTCAGGACCGTCCACTTGTTCCGTGTTGCTTGAAGGGCATTGCCAGAGATGTCTTCGCTAGCTCTTGATAATTCTCTCTCTCACACCCCCTCCCACCGACTCTCTTTCTTTCTTTCTCTCTTTCTTTCTTTCTTTCTCTCTTTCTTTCTTTCTCTCTTTCTTTCTTTCTTTCTCTCTTTCTCTCT